CTTTAAACCAGACTTGAACAACACAGCCCTTCAAAGAGAGGATGCCTTCAACCAGAGGGCTGATCTCTGTAAAGAAAGAATCCATGGCACGTCTAGCTGCAATGGAGCATGTACATGAATTGCTGCTGTACACATGTGACTACTCCATGTGACACTAGAACTCACAGAGCGAGAGTAGAACCCAGCATCTCCATTGCCAAGGCAGCCAGACCAGCGCTCCTTATCTTGCCATGTTGCACTGAGGTAGTTTCAGTGCAGCACAGTAAAAGCGAGAGAGCAAGAGAAAGATGATGCATTTGCCTTGATAGTGAAGATGCATTCTGGGAAAAAGAGCCGAGTCGAACAGGAGATCAATGTATGTGCACATTTTTTGCCTTCCTGAAAAGCAGTCTCCTCTTGCCATTTTTTTAAAGAGAGACTCCACCAAACCCGACAATGTGTAAATGGAAAGCTCCATCATGGCAACTGCAGAGTTTAGTAATGGTCAGGGAAAGCCGTCCTAAACAACAACTCCAAAATGTGTTTACCTGCCGATAAAACTAAGCCTGTCAGACTTCCCCAAGAAGATTGTTCTGCAAGGTGAGTGCCACTGCTGCAAAGGCTCTTTCTCAGGCTGGGGGCGGGGAGGGGGTCTTTATTATTTATTAATTAAATTGATACCCCACCTTTCCTCCCAAAGGTGCCCTGGGCAGTTCGTGTATAACAGAAGGGTGTGCCACTATCATCAACAAACTGAATTCAAAGCAGGTATCTAAAAGCAATGAGGTGCATGTTCAAATTTATTTTAAAACGATCACGCTAAAGTCAAGCAGTTATTCAAATGCATTTATATTAACAACACAGTTGTTGACTTCCGCAAATGTGTGGGAATTTAAGCAAATGTATTTAAGCAAAACAAAGGAAACTCCTGCACTCCATCTAATTCTGCCCCCCTCCCATTAATGTCACAGTAAATTTCAATGTCATATTCCTGTACGCCGCTGCCCTTAATCTGACAGTGTCAGAAGGATCTATCTTCATTTTCTCACTCTTTTCATAATCTAATCCTCAGCTCTAACATGCAATTAGTGCCCTCTTCGCCCTCTGCATACCAAGCGAGGCGGCCGGCTTCAGCGTTGGCTGTGCAATCCGTTTAGCAATGCCGCGCGTAATGAATATGTACATTTTGAGGACCTCAGCGAGGAGGGTCACAGGCAATCAACCTTGAATTCAATTACGCGAGTCAAGGTTAATGACTCGGCGCAGTGGTCAGAGGCATTCAGAATACGGCAGATTAAATCAGCCTGTCAGAACTGACAATGCAGAAGGGACAGAATTACTTGTGTGAGAAACAGGGAATCACGTGAAGATAAAATGGTGTCAGTCTTCAGTGAAGATTACATGGAGTCTGCTGTGGCAAATCTGATTGTAAATCTCCCCTAGCCCTATAATATGATTAGTCTACATAAAGACATGTCTAGATTGTAATGGAGAGTTTGCTAATAATGCTGTCTGAATGCCACCCTCACTGGGTGACTCCAGTCTTGCCTCCTCATCCTACATGCTGATAAGGATGTTATAAATGGAGAGCCAAAAATAATTTTATCTTGTCCACTGCATAGGTATGACTTCAGAAGGGTGCGAGGTTCAGTACCCAAAGAGATCTTGTTCAATAATTTGTTGGAACAATGAGTTCCCAACAGTAACTTTAAACAAAATAAGAAGATGTGGTTTTCATTCATTCAAACTAGAGGGAGAGAGAGAAGAAGCTTTTAAATCCATTAGGGATGGGGAAGCGGTCTCTGTGCTTCAAGTGAGGCAGTCTGCTTCAGGCAGCTGATTTTGGAGATAAGGCCAGCAAATTGTCAGTCATGTAATGCAATATTGTGGCTGAGATCCAGAGTTCCTGTGAGCTCAGTGGGACACAACTGCTGGAGGAAGGGGAGGAAAGCAATCTTGGCTGACTTCTTTTCCCCCGCTCAGCTGCCTGAAATTCTGCTTGAGAGGGTTGGGGAACCCTCTGGAACAGCACGGGTGATGTCTTCTCTGAAACGTTGCTCTAGAGTCTACAAGATGCAACTTCAAGTTTTCCTCTTACAAAACAGGCAGAGTACTTTTCAAAAAAATGTTTATTTGTTGTTGTGTAGTTTCTGTGTGGCTCACCTGGCATCAACTTTGTACATCTTTTCACTAGAAGGTGAAAATCTTTTTGTAAATATATATTCCCAACTTTTTAAAGTTTCAGATTTTTTTCTTTACACACTCTCAATTTTTTTATTGGTTGTTAGCTATTTTATATTGTGCTTTTATGTGATCTAATTTAAATTGTTTTTAATATTGCTAGCTGCCCTGGGAAGAAAATTTTTATTGCAGGGTATCTATCATCTATCTATCTATCTATCTATATCTATCTATCTATATCTATCTATCTATCTATCTATCAATCATCTATCTACAGTGGTACCTCGGGTTAAGTACTTAATTCGTTCTGGAGGTCCGTTCTTAACCTGAAACTGTTCTTAACCTGAAGCACCAGTTTAGCTAATGGGGCCTCCTGCTGCTGCCGCGCCGCTGGAGCACGACTTCTGTTCTCATCCTGAAGCAAAGTTCTTAACCCGAGGTACTATTTCTGGGTTAGCGGAGTCTGTAACCTGAAGCGTATGTAACCCTAGGTACCACTGTATCTCTATCTATCATCTATCTATATCTATCTATCTATCTATCTATCTATCTATCTATCTATCATCTATCTATCATCTATCTGTTGTAACTAACATAAATTATTATCTAGTAGAATTACTACCCTTCCTCGGGTCTCAGGTTATGATTTTTGCAAGCAAAGACAAATATCTTCTTTTAGCATTTTCTCTTTTAAAATGATCCAGAATATCCAATGACAACCCTAATATTTCTGGTTCAAAGCATAAATATTTTTAAAATACTCCTCCCTGATTTCTCCAGGAAAAGAACAACAGGCAGAAAAAAGATCACTCTCCCCAAATCTCTCTTTTTATATCAATTGCCCTGTAGTTAACATATTTGCCTCACTTACAGCAAGCTCAGTAAGCATTTTGGATAATGCACATAAAACTGGGACAGTCCTTTGACAGATCCGGGACTTGCTCCCATGCAACTGCAGCTTCAGATCAAGTTTCTTTTGCTCCGGGGCTACCAGTTTGTGTTCCCATTCCCCAAGAGCAATCAAATTGACTATTGTCCTGGAGCCAACAACTCTGCATGCAATTAGGAAGAGCTGCTTTGAAGCAGCTGCCCGTGTGAGCCCATCTATGCAGCTCACCAGACAAGCTAATTGTTCTGCTTAGCCGTGTTTACACAGCATGTCCTGCAGCTCCAGTATACCAGAATGCAGCACTGTCAAAATTAGAGCGGCCATCTTACTTATGGTCAACCCTTCTGACAGCTCCAAGGTGGGCAGAAGTCGAAGGTGAAGCCCTTCCTGATCTGGAGATGCAGGAGTGGGAAGAATCTTACCTTGTTGATTTCTGTCTTAAAAGTGATGGTGGCCTGAATGCGAGTGGGGGAAGGTAACAGCCTGAGTCTAGAGGTCTTGGGGTTCCTATTGACACAGTTTGCAGAGCCATTATGTTGAATGTCAAATTTAATATGTTGTTTGTAATAGGCCTTGAGTTCTTTGGAACCACAGGGTTGGTTCACCTATGGGCTGCAATTCCATGCATACTTTCCTGGGTGTAACACAGTGGGGCTTCCTTCCAAGTAAACTTGCATAGGATTGGTTCATCTATATTTTATTATCATTTCCTCAAAGACTCGAAGAGGAATGTATCAGCGGCTGCCACTGAAAAGCCACTTTGGGCATTCTTAAATTGCACCCTTGCAACCCCTTCCCAGCATGAGTATGCTGATTGCACAGGTTTCTGATTGCAGGTAGGGCTGTTAATGGATCCAGCAAAATGTGCCTGCAATTTCCCTTCAGTAAGGTGGTTGGGGCTGGCTCCCATTCTCCTCATGGATACAATTTACAAATATCTGAATGAGTCTTGTATCTGAGGCGCCATGAGGCTTTAGGTCTGCAGTGGCTCAATCCTACATGCAAGTCCTCCATCAGGCCACAACCACACACATTTAAAGCACTATGATGCCACCTTAAACAGCCATAGCTCCCCCCCAAGGAAGTGGGAGCTATAGTTTGTTAAGGGTATTGAGAGTTGTTAAGTGACCCATATTCCCCTCCCACAGCTATGTTCCCAGAGTTCCCTGTGAAGAGGGATTGATTGTTAAGCCACTCTGGGAACTGTAGCTCAGGGAGGGGGAAACTCTCAGCTCCCTTGCCAAACCACAGCTCCCAGGATTCCTTGGTGGAAGCCACAACTGCTTAAAGTGGTATCATAGTGCTTTAAATGCATGGTGTGAATGTGGCTGCTGTTATTCTCATGAAGACCAGAAATGGTTCACACACATGTTCATCGCTTGAAGATTGCAACCTAAAGTGGTGACTTGCGCATGTGTGAATGTAAACCGTCATGGATCTGACACCATAGACAGAACATTCATGCTATCTTGTTGTTGTTGTTTAGTCGTTTAGTTGTGTCCGACTCTTTGTGACCCCATGGACCAGAGATCACCAGGCACTCCTGTCTTCCACTGCCTCCCACAGTTTGGTCAAACTCATGTTAGTAGCTTCAAGAACACTGTCCAACCATCTCACCCTCTGTCGTCCCCTTCTCCTTGTGCCCTCCATCCTTCCCAACATCAAGGTCTTTTCCAGGGAGTCTTCTCTTCTCATGAGGTGGCCAAAGTATTGGAGCCTTAGCTTCAGGATCTGTCCTTCCAGTGAGCACTCAGGGCTGATTTCCTTAAGAATGTATAGGTTCTTATCTTATATAGCTATCTTACGTCGCCTCAAACATCACACTTTTCAGTTGCCGCCAGTTATACAACAGTGATTAAGTGTAGAGAAATCAAGTGTTATAAAGGCTGGTGTGTTAGTCCAGGAGGAGACCCATAGTTCAGTGATAGAGGACATGTTCTGCATGCAGAAGGTCCAGGTGGATAGCTCAGCTAGTTACAGAATGGTGCTGATAATGCCAAGGTTGCAAGTTCAATCCCTGTTTGGGACAGCTGCATATTCCTGCTTTGCAGGGGGTTGGACTGAATGATCCTTGGGGTCTTTTCCAGTTCTATGATTCTATGATCTCCAGAAAGGGCTGTGAAGGATTCCTGCCTGAAACTCCAACTAGTGTTGGCAATACTGAGCTCACTGACCCAGCAGACAACTGCATATGTGATTGAATCCACAGTTATTTCTGGAATCGGAATGCCAACATCTTCTTCGATATCTGCATTCTGACATCTTAAAGGTTATGAAGTGCTATTCTGAAATTTGTCGTATTCAGAGACCCAGCATTCCCCAACCAACGACATTAGCCACTTGATGTTGAGGAATTTTTATGAGGTAGAATGACTCTGTACTGTTGTCACTCTTGTTGCTGGGCATATGAAATGATTTTGAATCCTGCCTTGCAACTTTCCTCGACACCAGATGTAACATGTCCCCTCAAAGCATGTTCTGGTTTCAGGGATATCGAGCAACATCAGGTCCTTCAATATGTTGCATGCTGCTCCAGGTTCTCCCTTGAGAGCTCAAAGGAAAGGCATGCCGCACTGAGGCGAGGGACTCCTGATATTTTGACAAGTGTTCTTCGTTAATTGTGCCGTGGCGTTAATTGAAAATGAACGTACAAAACGCGTCCATGCATAGAAATGGTTTCTACTGACAACAACCCATGAACTGGATACAGGTGCCAGAAGAAGGCAGTGTGGTGTAGTGGTTAGAGTAGTGAACTAGGACCTAGGAGACCAGGGTTTGAATCCCCATTCAGCCATAAAGCTCACCAGGCAACTGCGGGCCTGTCAGAGTCTCTCAGTCCAGCCTACATCACAACATTGTTGTGAGGATAAAAATGGGGAGAAGAACTATGTATGGCACTTAAAGATCCCTGGAGCAAAGGTGGGATATAAATATAATAAGAAAGAATCATATTTGAAATGGCTATCTGCTGTACACTTTATGAGTCATTTGGTCCATTGATAATGCTCCATGTACACAAGTTGGTCCATATCTGCATTAGTGCTGCCACGGCTCTATAAACTGAGGTGATGCGTTTTAAAACTATTCATCACTCTCTAGAAGATTTATTTGTGATGTGTCATGTCAAAGCTGCATTTATTAAAATCTCCGTATTATAAATCGATTTCCCACCATCCCCTTTAATACACTTTTTCCTATTTTTTAAAAATGCCATATATATAAAATCTGCACAAAAAGCCATCTCCCTATCATATTCCCATTTTAAAATGTTTCTCTGTGGTCGACACTACAATTTTGTTTGACCTTTTAGCTATAAAGATCACAGCTGGGATTTGTTTTTTCAGCTATCACCGTTGTCGATCCTTTATCAGGGCGGCCCTTCAGTCAAAGTAATTTGTACTATTTGTCTTAATGCAACAGAGAGATCAGAACCTCCCCTTGCTACTCGAGGTCACTTAATTTGTATTGTCCTGTAGCCAGAAATGTTGGCTTTGTACTCAAGTTTGCCAGAATGGAGCAGCCTGTAACAGCCTGTAACAGATGACATTTGCGCACGACACATTCTCGATAAAATCAAGGGAATGTAAGAATTGAGGGTTTTGGTTTCTTTTAAATGGCCACACCCACACCCACAGAAACTTTGCTAGCTGTCATGGTAGCAAACATAATTAACATTTAAAATATGCACAACAGCATTTGGAGGATATGCCTGTTGATTTTGTGGGCCACCACGATTGCAAAATTTGGAATTGTGTGCTTGGAATGTGGCTTGGTGGCATTCTCTTGGTTATAAATGTCCTTAAGAAAACATTAGAAGTGCTTTAAATGCTCTAACATTGCTTTTAAGTTAAATTAAACATACATAAGCATGCTTTCTTCACTACTTTGAATCAGAATTTTGACTGATGCTGGGACGCTTGTCTGAAATTTAAGTATCAGCTTCCCAATACGCTAAATTGACTTGGCCACTGTGGCCAGTGGAGGCTAGTCAATAAGGGCGAATAGGCAGAGACATCAACTTGCCAAAGGTCCGTATAGTTAAAGCTATGGTTTTCCCAGTAGAATCATAGAATCATAGAATCATAGAGTTGGAAGAGACCACAAGGGCCATCGAGTCCAACCCCCTGCCAAGCAGGAAACACCATCAGAGCACTCCTGACATATGGTTGTCAAGCCTCTGCTTAAAGACCTCCAAAGAAGGAGACTCCACCACACTCCTTGGCAGCAAATTCCACTGTCGAACAGCTCTTACTGTCAGGAAATTCTTCCTAATGTTTAGGTGGAATCTTCTTTCTTGTAGTTTGGATCCATTGCTCCGTGTCCGCTTCTCTGGAGCAGCAGAAAACAACCTTTCTCCCTCCTCTATGTGACATCCTTTTATATATTTGAACATGGCTATCATATCACCCCTTAACCTCCTCTTCTCCAGGCTAAACATGCCCAGCTCCCTTAGCCGTTCCTCATAAGGCATCGTTTCCAGGCCTTTGACCATTTTGGTTGCCCTCCTCTGGACACGTTCCAGTTTGTCAATGTCCTTCTTGAACTGTGGTGCCCAGAACTGGACACAGTACTCCAGGTGAGGTCTGACCAGAGCAGAATACAGTGGCACTATTACTTCCCTTGATCTAGATGCTATACTCCTATTGATGCAGCCCAGAATTGCATTGGCTTTTTAGCTGCCGCGTCACACTGTTGGCTCATGTCAAGTTTGTGGTCAACCAAGACTCCTAGATCCTTTTCACACGTACTGCTCTCAAGCCAGGTGTCCCCCATCTTGTATTTGTGCCTCTCATTTTTTTGCCCAAGTGCAATACTTTACATTTCTCCCTGTTAAAATTCATCTTGTTTGTTTTGGCCCAGTTCTCTAATCTGTCAAGGTCGTTTTGAAGTGTGATCCTGTCCTCTGGGGTGTTAGCCACCCCTCCCAATTTGGTGTCATCTGCAAATTTGATCAGGATGCCCTTGAGTCCATCATCCAAGTCGTTGATAAAGATGTTGAATAAGACCGGGCCCAAGACAGAACCCTGTGGCACTCCACTAGTCACTCTTCTCCAGGATGAAGAGGAACCATTGATGAGCACCCTTTGGGTTCGGTCAGTCAGCCAGTTACAAATCCACTGAGTGGTAGCATAGTCAAGACCACATTTTACCAGCTTCTTTACAAGAATATCATGAGGCACCTTGTCAAATGCCTTGCTGAAATCAAGGTAGGCTACATCCACTGCGTTCCCTTCATCCACCAGGCTTGTAATTCTGTCAAAAAACGAGATCAGGTTAGTCTGACATGACTTATTTTTCAGAAATCCATGCTGACTATTGGTGATCACAGCATTCCTTTCTAGGTGCTCACAGACTGTTTGCTTAATGATCTGCTCCAGAATCTTCCCTGGTATTGATGTCAGACTGACTGGGCGGTAATTATTTGGGTCCTCTCTTTTCCCCTTTTTGAAAATAGGGACAACATTTGCCCTCCTCCAGTCTGCCGGGACTTCGCCTGTTCTCCAGGAATTCTCAAAGATGACTGCCAGTGGTTCTGAGATCACATCTGCCAGTTCTTTTAATACTCTTGGATGCAGTTCATCTGGCCCTGGAGACTTGAATACATCTAAACTAGCCAAGTATTCTTGTACTATCTCCTTAGTTATTCTGGGCTGTGTTTCCTTTGCTGAATCATTTGCTCCAAATTCTTCAGGTCGGGCATTGTTTTCTTTATCGGAGAAGACTGAGGCAAAGAAGGCATTGAGGAGTTCAGCTCTTTCTGTGTCCCCTGTTTGCATTTCACCATCTTCTCCTCTGAGTGACCCCACTGTTTCTTTGTTCTTCCTTTTGCTACGGACATACCCATAAAAGCCTTTTTGTTGCTTTTAACCTCTCTAGCAAGCCTGAGTTCATTCTGTGCTTTAGCTTTTCTGACTTTGTGTCTACACGTGCTGGCTATTTGTTTGAATTCCTCTTTGGTGGTTTCCCCCTTTTCCATTTTTGTACACATCCTTTTTAATCTTAACTCAGTTAAAAGTTCTTTAGATAGCCACCCTGGCTTCTTTAGGCACCTTCCATGTTTCCGTCTCATTGGTATTGCCTGACGTTGTGCTTTTAGTATCTCCCTCTTAACAAACTCCCAGCCATCATGAACTCCCTTTCCTTTTAGTATTACTGTCCATGGGATCTCACCCAGCACTTCCCTAAGTTTTATGAAGTCAGCTTTCTTAAAGTCAAGAAATTGAGTCCTAGTATGCTTGGCTGCTCCTTTCCGCTGTATAGTAAACTTCAGAAGAGCATGATCACTCGCGCCTAATGATCCTTCCACTTCTACCCCACTAACCAGGTCATCAACATTGGTTAGGACCAGATCTAAAATGGCTGTTCCTCTTGTTGCTTCTCCCACTTTCTGGACAATGAAGTTGTCTGCAAGGCCAGTGAGGAATCTGTTTGACCTTATGCTCTTGGCTGAGTTTGACATCCAACAAATATCCGGGTAATTGAAGTCCCCCATTACTACTATCTCCCTCCTTTTGCATGCTTGGCCATCTGTTCCAGGAAGGCATCATCTATGTCCTCCGTTTGGCTTGGGGATCTATAGTAAACTCCCACAGTGAGGTCACTGTTATTCTTCTCTCCCTTAATTTTGACCCAAATGCTCTCACTTTGGCTTTGAGGTTCTAAATCTTGGATCTCTTCACAGGTATACACATCCCTGACATATAACGCCACTCCTCCTCCTTTCTTGTCTGGTCTGTTTCTCTGAAATAGATTGTATCCCCCCAGTAGTGATGTATGGAAGTGAGAGCTGGACCATAAGGAAGGCTGATCGCCGAAGAATGGATGCTTTTGAATCATGGTGCTGGAGGAGACTCTTGAGAGTCCCATGGACTGCAAGAAGATCAAACCTCTCAATTCTGAAGGAAATCAGCCCTGAGTACTCACTGGAAGGACAGATCCTGAAGCTGAGGATCCAGTACTTTGGCCACCGCATGAGAAGAGAAGACTCCCTGGAAAAGACCCTGTGTTGGGAAAGATGGAGGGCACAAG